ACAATATAAACACAGCCAAGAGATTTCTAGTTTCTTTTATATATTGGTACTTGTTGTCGGGTTCGAGATGATGTTCCTGCAGAATAGTTGAATATATCTTCAGATGTATCAGTGTGAATGCAAAAGCACGCGGAAGAGCTATGACCTGAGGACAAATTGTACGAGGGCTCAAGGAATCATCCTAGTCATGGTTCGAGATTTTGCGAAAAACAACCTCCAACTACGTGATTGATAGTTGATAGCCTGTTCCTGATGCCATGCAAACCTGCTTCGATCCGGTCCGGATTCGCTGTTAGGAAAAGGTTACTACAACTTTGACTTTACAAGTAGTAAGGCTGTCAATACCCTCGGTGTGAAGCCCTTCATAGCCCCTGGTTTTCAAGTGTGGTCTAGCACAAGTCTAGCGTGGCTATCGACCCTCATTCGACCCTGCCACGGGACCGATCCGGAAACTGCACCGTATGATATTTATTGTGGGCGAACATTTTTCACACCTAACTTTTGTTCAACACCACATTCTCCAACACGGATCCCTATGCGCTTCCAGCTTTCACAAGAGCAAATTGACTTTTACTTCTCACTTCCGCAAGAAGTGAAACAGCACTTTGTTGACGCCTCGTTGGCTGTCCCTGCCCACCTTCTACCTCCTGGTATTCGACGTCTTACAAGTCTTGACGATTTTGATCAGGCATTACGGGAGACACATGATGTTGTGAGTGTGCAGCCCTTCGACCATAGATTGCTCATAACATGTATATCTGCCTCAGTTTGCGCCGGAAATCGATCCCCAGCCTGACGCCATTCAGACCTACCTACCCCATCTAGGTTTCGGCATCCGCTATTGGCTCTCTCACTGTTTAGGAAAGGATGGCTATTATAATTTCGACTTCATCGACCGCTCCGGTGAACGTATCAACACGCCTCCGGGTATACGATTGATCATGGAGTACAACTTTCATGTACGGTCCACTGTTGATATTCAACTCACTCGAAAACCCTGCGGCTTTTGGAATTAGTCCCAATACCACATTACCGCCTGGATGCGAGATCTTTGTGATTTATTGTGGGAGGCCGCATATTTTGGAGCTGAATGGGAGGGAGGTGCATCGTTTTCAACCACCTGATGTGAGGAAATTTTATTCTTACGAACCTTTCTCGTCATAATTTCTCTATTACGGGCAGGTTCCGGGCAGATGCAGGGTGCTGGATCTTTGATTTAGACACACGATGCATTGTTACAGCGAGTTCCCACACCCTCTCATGAGAGGATATGACAGGGGCATTGAACGTTGGTTGTGACCAGTTCGGTCGCGGTTGAAATACTACAAACGCTGATTTGGACGGGGACGTCACGGTCAAGTTTTTTGGATGCAACCTATAGCCCAACTGTGCAACTGAATGGACGGAAAGTGTATCATTTTCAGCCCCGACATGAGAAACATGTAGATACAGGTAGATACCTGGTAAAATTAAAATTAAAACTTATGTGATAGCATTGTTCAAGTTGCTGCTTGGTAAATAAAAGGAGAAATTGAATTCCCACAGCTTAATTGTTTTTTAACTCCGCCAGCTTGCTTTCTTACTCAACCACGAACAGCTATGCGCTTCCAGCTTTCACAAGAACAGATTGACTTTTACTCCTCACTTCCACAAGAAGTGAAACAGCACTTTGTTGACGTCTCGTCGTCTTTCCCTGCTTCCCATCTCCCTCCTGGCATTCGACGTATTATGAGTCTCAACGATTTTGACCAGGCGTTACACGAAACATATGAATTTGTGAGCGTGTATGTTCGTTGACTGTGAATTGCTCGTAACATGTATATGTACCTTAGTTTGCGCCCGAGATCGATCCCCAACCTGACGCCATTCAGACCTACCTACCCCACCTAGGCTTCGGCATCCGCTATTGGCTCTCTCACTGCTCAGGAAAAGATGGCTATTACAACTTTGACTTTATCGACCGCTCCGGTGAACGTATTAACACGCCTCCGGGTATACGATTGGTCATGGAGTACAATTTTCATGTGCGGTCCACTGCTGATATTCAGCTCACTCGGAAACTTCAAGATCCTGCGGCTTTTGGGATTAGTCCCGACACAACACTGCCGCCTGGATGCGAGATCTTTGTGATTTATTGTGGGAGGCCGCATATTTTGGAGCTGAATGGGAGAGAAGTGCATCGTTTTCAACCACCTGATGTGAGCAAATGTTCTTATGGGCCTTTCTTATCATAATTCTTTTGTTACGAACAGGTTCCGGGCAGATGTAGAGTACTGGATCTTTAATGCAGGCGTAGGAATTCATTGTTACAGTGTTCTTTTTCTTTCGATGTAAGTGATGAACGAGTACAACTTTCAAAAAATGTTATATTCTCAGATACAGCCTTGCTAAAACAAGATACATGAAATTATAGCTTTTAATAGCAGACGGACTATTCCGTTATCCAATTAACCATGTGCATGTCTGGTGTTCTGTACTTGGGGAGACAACACAACGCTCCCATGGGAGGATATGACGGGAGGATTGAGCACTGGAAATGGTAGGCCGTGACCAATTCGGTCATGCTTGAAATACCACAATGCTGATTCGGAAGGACGTCAAATTCTTTGATGCGTATGCCACACTAATCCGTAGCCCAACTGTGCAATAAAGGGCCTCCTAAAAGTCCATTCAATCCCATTACAGGCACTAACGGCGCTGGCATGGTCCCCCCGCCCCGAGTCAACCCACAATTCAAAATCAGGTCTCGTCTCGATATTGAATTGGAACGCAAGAAAGCCGACCCAGCCGTTCATACCTTTTTCTGATAGCGATTCCTGGCCGTACCCGCTTGGCCATGGAGCTTGACTGAAGTGCCCTCTTTGATCTTACACATGATGCAAACATAGTAGTCGGGCAAAATATTTTTGCTTAGTTTCTTTAATGATCCTATATTGTGCGGCAATGGATAATTGAAAGTTGACTGTAGATTAAGTTTATCAGACCCAGTATAGACCTAGTAGTGCTAAATTTATTGGTACCTGTTGTCGAATCCTAGCAGAACAGTTCTCGGATCGATGGCAGAACGTTAAACGTTAAACCACTGGTAGCAGAGCTCTTATATAATCGGCTCTATTTCGACATTTAAATGAGAAACCCCTGATTCAGATATGCCCTCCAACAATCCTCATACTCAGACAACGCCCATCGACTGGTTCAGAGGGTTGGATGCTCCCGCCCAACAATTTTTCGTTGACCTTCATAACCAACAGACGGGAGAGCAATATAGTACTGCTCAGTTTGAACAGTTCCTCAGTCAGCCCTTGGACTTTGTGCGTTGCAGCCCCTTTTTATTCCTTTTTTTTTCAATGACCTGATAAGAACGATGCTTTCTTACTATTACTAGGGCGTGCTCGAGGAGGACGTACCTGCAAATGCATACTGCCAAGAAGTGACGCTTCCGACCAATATTAACTTCAACGGACAGCTCTTTATTCGATTCTGGCGCTCTCCTAGACTTGGCCAAAATGGCTATTATAACTTTGACTTTGCTGATTGCCACGGCACTAGGATTAATACCCCACCCGGCATCGAACTGTATATGGTCAACCCCCGGTGCAAGCTCATGTCTCGTGTAGACATTGAGCTGCAACACAAGAAAGCCGACCCTCACTCGTACGGGATAGATCCTGCTACTACACTCCCACCTCTGATCCCGGTGTTCATTCTTTTTGGAGGAAAAAAGCATATTTTGACATACCAAGGTCGCCGTCTTCATGAGTTTACGCCTCCCGAGGTATTCCCTTAAGTTTACTCCGAGACTTCATAAATCCTCTGATAGATTCCTGATCGCATTCGTTTGAATATTGAAGTTGATAGGCCCTAATGCGTTTTGTGATTTTCATGTATGATGGACACAGCAACTTTCATGTGGAAATAACGATGTGAGCGAAGACGTGCCCTTGCTAAGCTCAAGCTCGCAGGCCGGCAGGTATTCTCTCCGAGTGCATATTGCAAGTCCTGAGCAGCGTTTCAAAGTTTCGCTGCTTTGCTGTTAGATTTCAGATATGTCCAGAATATAAAGTACATTTATGCGAGGTTGTTGCAGTCACGAATGCAAGACATCTTTGTGAGGCCCGGGAACTCTAGAACGGCGCGGTATTTGGTAACTGGTGGCAGTACACCGAAGCCCCTTTTCGTTCCAAATAAACAAAAAGTCTCGGTTTCACATCTACCACCATACTCCTCATAACCAGCTACCTCAAAGCATCTGGATAATCTGTCTGGTCGGTCCTCAATGTATTCTGAATCGTATCATGACTGTTCCTGGCCTAAACTGCATTATGTTAACTGAGGAGGTTATTGCCATGCAGATGAGAAGAGATTCGGAGTCGTTGCGTCGACATTTTTCTTCTTGACTGGCAATAGTTCCTAACTTTCTTTCATCAAATAGGCCCCGGCCCCGGTAGAGCTCTACCTGTTCGCTAGCTGTGAGCTCGTAGCGCTCTATAGACGAGTCATTAAGAGAAGAGACAAGAACCAAACGACGATACCTTGCAAAGTACCTTCCATACTACAGTCCGGTGTCTCTCCTCTCTGGCCTTTCGTCCTCTCATTATAACCTAGCCGGACTCTAGCAACCCCCAAAGTTGTCCCTCAACATAGGTTGTATGGCGAGATGGCCGAGCGGTCTAAGGCGCCAGACTAAGGTCCAGGACGTTCGACGTCCAAGTTATCTGGTCCGAAAGGGCGTGGGTTCGAATCCCACTCTCGTCATCCTGGTTGAGGTATGTTTTTTTACTGAGTTCCTGTATAGGTATCCATGATCGAGTTTTTTATAGGTAACTGTACATGAACCCACTTTAGCGCCTCCTTGCACGCCTCCTTGCAACCCTTTGGGTGATGATCTCTTGCAAAACTAGCAGGAGTACTCTTTTATTGTCAGAGATACATGGTTCAAGATGAGTCGTCTCCTTTGCTTTTTCTTCCTTGTTATGCATCTATTCTTATCTACAGCGGATTCCCTCTTAGCTCAGTTGGTAGAGCGCGTCACTAGTATCGTACTTGGCGAGTAGTATGACGAGGTCAGTCGTTCGAGTCGGCTAGAGGGAACGTGAAACGAAGTGAGCTTTCTTTTTCCCTCTATGGTGACTATATCTCTCTTTTAGTCTACGTTGGCCCCAAGCATTACATCACGAGCTTATTTTCTCTGCGTTAGCTGCGACCATTATACCGAGGACTCCAAGAAATAGATTGACTGAATACTTATGAAGAGAAATTCATTCGAGTCCTGTCTATAGTTGGGTTCTCTGGCATATTGCGAACCGCTAGTTTCTCAACAGGATCTATCTATGAACGTCCATTTCCGTCCAGGAAGCACTTTGTTGCGGTAGGACTGTAATGAAAAGAAGGATTCGAAAAGACCAGTCACCGACTTGCACGGTGAAGGAATGGGTAAAGGTGGTACCGTTATATCTACAGCCAATCAATCCAAAATAGCACAACTTGACACGATCCCATGCCAATCAGTGATCATTTGTGAAAAAGCTAAAGGGTTGAAAAGTTGTCAGTTATGAACGATGAACAACGACGAACCTTCAAACTCGACGTCGACTTGACTTGTCGACGACTACTTGTCAAACAATATGCATGCATGCATGCCTCGAGGAATTCCTAACAAGTGGTAGTAGCACTACTACTCTTTCAAGGCATATTTGACGGCTCCAAGTCAAGTCACAAGATAGTAAGAATGACAGGACGGGACAGGTCTGGAATTAATTAACGTAGTGATTAACCTGATTTGAAGGGGTCGGATGACGAAAGGCAAAGCAGGCTGTAGAATGGATGTCCATATTAATGAATGTGAATGAACGTTAACGAACATGAACAGTAGAAAGTCCGTAAAAGGAAGGTGAAGGAAAGAGAAGCACCAGTTGCTGTAGAATGGTTTGACTGACTGACGGCGACGCGTTTGACACTTGTCCGCGTATCCGTGCGTCGCGAGCCCAAGGTACTTGATTTGGCCCCTCAAAGTCAAAAGACAGGACTCGGGGCAGCTTGGAATGGTGAAATTGGAAAATTGCGTACGCAGACAGAGTCACCAAGCAGGACGTATAGAGTGACGTCGGTGGAGGACACTGCGTCGGGCACTCGGCACGGGGGACCGGGGACGGATGACCGAACCTGTGAAGAGGACGGACGTCGAGTATTCCACAGGAACGTCGAATATTACAGACGCCTTTGACGGACGCGGCGTATTATAGCAAAGTGGTATAGAACATTAAAGGAGCATCCGCGTCTTCTGTCTTCATTTCCGTTTTTGTGACTCGATTTGAGGAACAAGGCACGTGCTCCCAAACTCTCTGTGCTCGTCGTCTTGGTCGGTGTGCTCGCTGTCGTTGTCGTTGGGAATGGAGGTGGAGCGCTTGACCGCAGCAATTGGCTGGTGCACCGCCCGGAAGATGGTATTAAACGCGGAAAAACAAGAAAATGTTGTCATCCGAGGGTGGATTGACAGGTCTCACGTAAGACAGGATAGATAGATATTAGACAGGTCAAGAGCTCGACAGCTCCCGCAATAATGCGCATGCTCTTCACATAAATCCACTCCTCATGTGTACTCCTTTACCTTCTTCCCCCACCTCTTCCTCCCATACCATGCCGCACCCCCAACTCCCACCAGACGTTTGGCACCACATTGCTCTCTTCCTCTCGCCCCAAGCCATTTCTTCTCTATGGACTCTCAATTCCGTGTTTTTCAACCTCGCGATGGATATAAAGTACCAGCAGATAAGCTTTTCCTACCTCTCCAAACGTATGCTTCGCGTCCTTCGGAGGTTGAAGGAGAGTAACGAAGTGAGGAGACGTGTCAGGGTTTTGTATCTCTATCCAGGGTTCCTGAGGGAGGCCCTTGAGCAGGAGAAGGAGAGGGATGCCAAGGAGAAGGAAAAGGAAAGGGACTCGTCGCTATTGGGGAAATTGGGAGAGATTGCAGGGCAGATCCGAGAGAGGTATCACCACCCAAAGTCGACTTCAAACCCCGCCAAGATCAAAACGGCGCAGGATCTCGTGCAGATGATGATCCAGACGCTGTCTTTGCTGCCTAATTTACAAGAATACCACATCGCCTGGTCCGGGCTTCCAACATTACCCAATTCCGTCCCAGTTCCGCTCTTACGTGCACCGTTCAAGTCTGGTTTACTCAAGAGAATCTATTTTGATATCTCGCTGGATAAACTCGAGGCCCTGTTTCCACTCGAAAGAGACGATTTACACGGCGTCGAGGAAACGCAATTGTTTTTACGCGCTCCTTCCTGCAACGCGTCGCATACGCGTCCACGCTTACACTTTCCCCCACTCCCAAACCTAACACACCTCACGATCCAAGCGTTCGATGCTCTTCCTTCGTCGTCATCGCTAGACATATTCACCGCCCTCAACACTCTTCCCCGACTACACACTCTCTCATTAAACATCCCGATATCCTCTTATCCGTTCCTCGGATCACCGAGGTCCGTGAGAGACTTTGTGTACAGACACCGAGGGACATTGAGAATGATTAGTCTTCGAGGCAATGACCTCGGCTCTCTACCCGTTTCTGGGAGCACCAGTGGAGAGAGTGGTTCGTTGGATACTTGGCTAAGAGAAGCCCTCTTACCTCCTCCGAGTCTAAACTTGGACATTGAACACCTAGAAATCAACCTCTCCCTCCTCCCACTCTCTCCAATCCTCACCTTCCTCCAAAGTCTCTCTTCGTCCTCCTCCAACCTTACCGCGTTGAAATTAACAACCAATGCCAGTGGTGGAGGCAGCGGCGGTCGATTCCTTTCTTCAGAGGAGCTCGAGTGTCTTTTGGATACTCTTTCTCCTTCGTCTGCTTCCACTTCTTCCACTTCTTCCTGTTCCCCTTCACCTTTGACTTGTACATTCCCCTCATCATCTACCTTTTTATCGGCATCATTACCCGCTTCACCCATCTCCACAACGGTAGAACTGGAATCCTTGACGCTCCCTCTTCAAACACTCTCACCGACCACGTTTGATATACTTTCTTCGTCTCCTGCGCTCAGGTACTTGAAGAAGCTCGAGGTGAAAGTGAGGGACGGGGTTGTTTGTGGAGAGGGAGAGGTCGTGCTTAATCTCAATCTCAATTTCGGGCTTGGACTTGGACTTGGACTTTCGAGTTGGATAGCAGCAGTCGTGCCAGAAGGTAAAGAAGAGACGGAGGAAGGTGATGAGGAGAAAGGAGAGGAACGAGTGACTGTTTTGGAGGCTCTCAGTCCTAGTCCTAGTCCGAGCTCGGAAGGAGAGGTTCGAGGAGAGAAGGAAAAGGTAGCAGAGGTGTATCACTGTCGTCGGTATCCGGGCCGGTATGGGACACCTGGGCAGGATGAGGAGCAGATTGTAAGTGGTCCTTCCTTCCGTCTTTGTTCGTAACTGACGCGTTTTCTTTTGTCTAGGACCGGTTCCTCGATACGATGCTTACACGTGCACGGTGCTCCTCGTACGCACATTGGGGATTGGAGAGACTGAAATTGGTTCTTTTGTCCTCGTCATCGGCTGTAAACAGTCAAGTCGAGCTGGGGTTGGGAACGGGGATGAGGAGGAGAAAGGTTTTCGAGTTTGATTTTACTTTGCCTCCTACTACTCCCTCGAGGACTCGTGGTGGGACGCAGCTGGAAATGGATCCGGAGGGAAAGTGGAGAGAGGTTTTTGAAGAGTGTTTTATGCCGTCGTCGCTATAGGTAATCGATGTCTGCTCGCTGTCAGAGGCATAGGCATGGGTTCGAGTTGGGTGTTGGTGTCTTGTTTGCTTTCTTGTTTGGACGTACGCTTTCAACCTTTGTTTCTTGCGCGCGTGTACCCTTTTTTTTCTTTGTCTTGCTCGCTTTGCTTACGCACGCACTTGCTTTGTTTTTGCTTTCTTTCTCTTTCTGTTTTTGGGTGTCAGACCTATTGCAGAACTTCATTCCTTTTTCTTTTTCTTTGGCATATGCATTTACTCTCAACCTTGCAATTTTCACAGACTCTTTTCTTGCATACACACATACAGAAACACTGAACAGATGGACAGAATCGTGTACATACTTACTTACATTGTTACTTACATACGGTAGCTACGTAGCTTGCTTATTTCATGACATTCATGAAAAAGTCATCGCATGCTGGGGTATTTCGCAGTCCCGCGGTTTTCGATAAAAGATCAAGTCGAGATGCAGGCATCATTAACATTTTGAATTCTAACGGCCTAGGTGCTATTGCATGAATGCAAGTGAGCTCGTAAAAGTAAAAAAAAAAAACTATCGCTGGAGATCAGGGGATAATGGCCAACGTGGGGATCGAACCCAAGACCTTCGCGTTAACATGATATTAGCACGACGCTCTAACCAACTGAGCTAGTCGGCCACTGTAGATGGAAGGGTAGCAATGACAACGTTCGGGACGGAATCTGTAACGCGGCCTTTCTTTCTTGGGACTCACCATGTGTTCGGCTCAGACCTACCTGACCTACCTACCCACCATCATCTATTTCTACGAACTCGCTCTGCAGCCTCGCAGAGCTCTAATCTCTAGCCTATTCCTTCTCTATTGTGTATCGTATACCTTATAATCCTGTCGGCTTTCCCGTCGACTTGGTCGGGGTGTTTCCTCGCCCCTAGCAACGCCTGTCCGACATAACAACCAGCCTATATGGACGCCGACTTGACTATCCCCGGGAACCTGAGAGCAATTCTCGGTGCTGAGGGTGAGTCGAGTCCTCTCGGGAGCTCTAATGGTGTGAATGGAGGTGGTGCGAAGGAAGGGACCAAGGGAACCCATGCGACGTCGCCGGATGATGACTACGATTTTGATTGGGACTCGTTCGACGATTCTCACCTTTCCCCTGCATCTGCCCACGCTGTCCGCCTATTTGACGGAGATATTGCTCGTCTCGATTCCGACACCAACTCCCCTGTTATCAACAGTGCCATTTCTGCGAGAGCTCGCAGTACCGATTCTGCTGCTGCTGCTGCTGCTGCTAGCAGTACCAAGGATGTGCTCCCCTCTGCGCCCTCGCGCAGTACCCCCCTACCTCGGGTGTATTCTCATTCCAACTCGGATGGTCGTCTCCA